ATGCAATTCTGGGAAGAGAGGAACCTGAGTCTGGGCTGAAAGCCAAGGGTGGGGTGGGGACAGCACCCTCTGTCACTCAGTCTGTCTGCTGGCTGCCTCAGTCCTCTTTCTCTCTGTCCCTTTGACCAGCCACTGGGTTCCCACCTGGGGCAGTTTCTGAGAAAGTTAGAGACAGAATGAAGCATTCCACAGGGCAAGAGTCCTTTCCTTCTATCCACACAGCCAGGACTGTCAGGGCCGGTGGCCACTCGGGGGACTGGGCAGGGCTGGCTCAGGAGGTCTTGCCTGCCTCCCAGTTAAGGCTCAGCGGCCCAGGTGGGTGGAGAAGCCGCCTGAGAAACTGCTAGGGTCCTCAGAGGAACCACAGCCAGGCCTGTGCTAAGGTTCTGAGAAGTTCTGTGCTGGTTAATTTTGTCAACTGGGCACACCTGGGGACAGGGAACCCCAACTGAGGAACTGCCTCCCTCAGAATGGCTGGAGGCAAGTCTGTGGAGGCATTTCCTTTCCTTTTCTTTCTTTCTCTTCCTTCCTTCCTTTTTTTTTCTTGAGACAGGGCTTCTCTGTGTAGCCCTGGCTGTCCTGGAACTCACTCTGTAGACCAGGCTGGTCTCCAATGTAAAGATCCACCTACCTCTGCTTCCCAGAGCAAGGATTAAAGGCACACCCCACCACCACCACTGCCCAGCTTCCTTTCCTTGATTAACGTGAGAGGGTCCAGACCGTTGTGGGCTTTGCCATTCTGGAGCAGGTGGTCCTGGATGTATATAACAGCAGGCTGAGCAAGCCAGGGCAAGCACGCCAGTAAGGAACACCCCTTCATAGTCTCCCCTTCAGTTCCTGTCTTGACTTCCGGTCTTCCTCTGATGGCCCTTAACCTGTAAGTCAAATAAACCAGCCCACTCCTAAGTTGTTCTTGGTCATGGTGTTTATCACAGCAACACAAAAGCAAACTAGGACACTGTCCCTGGCTCAGTGAGGGAGGTACCTTGTATCCATACCTCGGGACCCATGTTCCATCATGGGGACAATTGTCTCTAGGCTCTTCTTTCCTGTCCCAATTTCCTGTGAGTGCCCAAATCCCTGTCATTCTCCCCAAACTGTGTGCATGCTTGCCAGGGTTGCCTGAAGAGCAGAGCTGCAGTTTCTGGAGAGGGTGGTCAGGCCACTGAGGCACACAGCCAAACTGTCCCCAGGCACCACATAATCTCTAGGACTTGAAGGCTTGGCCCCCTGGTTGGTTGCTCTGTTTGGGGAGACCTAAGCAGTGTGGGCTTGCTGGAGGAAGGATATCACTGGGGGCAGGGTTTGAGGACTTAAAGACGTTAGCCATTTTAAGATCGTTCTCTCTGCCTCCTGTTGGCAGGTTGAGATGTAAGCTCTCAGCTGCTGCCTGCCTGCCTGCCCCTCACTCTCGCTGGTGAGTTCATCTGTCCTGTTGCTGAGGTATTCCCTGGCTGTGTTAGAACCTACTTCTTTGGGATTTCATCATAGACTCTCCAGGAGTCCTTCAGGCTTTGGGCACCAGATAGGGAATTTCTGAGACATCCGACCTCATTCTATCAGTCTGTCCTCTAGAGAATGCTCACTAATACACTCAACCTAGGAGAGTGCTTGCCTGTTACTGTTAGACCCCCGGAAAACTCAGGCCTCCGGGGTCTCAGCCCAGGACCTCGGTTACCCCAATCACTAGGCAGATTCGAAAGCTTGCTGCAAACTGTATGAGGCTTTATTGTTGTTTAAGGAGCTAACCCCATGTTAGCTCGGGTCTTTCACCTATCCGCCATGGCAGATGGCTGGGAAAGACAGCTCGAAGGGATGCATAGAGATCTTGTAGGGCAGCGTAAGGGGAGTGTATAGGGGTACACACAGGCTCAGGATTGGTGTGACTCCAGGCTTGGAGGGCTTGTCCTGTGTTGATTGATCAACTGGTTGTTATGGCCCATAGGCCCTCCCAGGGTGGTTGCTATGCTCTGTGCGTCATTGCTGTGCATTTGTCCGTAAAGCACACACAGAGCTGTAAAGCATAGCATCACCAGCTAACTTCTGATTGGTTCCTTGCCACGAGGCAGGCACCTAACGAGCCATAAAGCATAGCTCCACCAGCTAACTTCTGATTGGTTCCTTGCCATGAGGCAGGCATCTGACCTTAGTGACTAGGACAAAGTCAGACAAATACGTGTTCGGCTGTTATGGCTGCCGATATGGGGAGCTGGTCCCTTCATCATACTTGAGGCCCTGGTTTCAATTCCAGTGCACACCAGTGATCCCAGCAGCCAGGAGGATCCAGAGTTCAAGGTTACCCTTGGCTATATAGCTAGTTCTAGGCCAGCCTGGGTTCCATGAGACCTTACCTCAAATTAAAAAAAAAAAAAAGCAAGCTAAGCATTTTAGCTCACACATTTGATCTCAGTACAAGGGAGGGAGAGGCAGGTGGGTCTCTGTTAGTTCAAGGCCAGCCTGGTCTACATAGGGAACTCCAGACCAGTCAGAACTACACAATAGGACCCTGCCTCAAGCAAAACTACAACAAAGCAAACAAAACTCAAGGCAACAGAACCAACTCTGAGAGCTGAAAAGTGAAAACTCATTGTCTCAAAAAAAAAAAAAAAAAAAAAGGCATTGAAATGTTTCTTGAGTGTAACATCCTGTCAGGTTTATCCATTGTTAAATTTAGCATTTCAAAATGCCTCACAGAACAAGAAAACAACTTGTAAGCCACATTATTTCTCACTTAGGAATAAGCTGCAAGATTCCCAGGAACACATGATGCGTGTGAAGAAACCCAGTCCAGCCACAAACCGGGGCAAGAAGCTTCAGAAGCCGAGTGAGAAATCTGGGTGTGGTGGCACAGCCTGCACCCCCAGCACCCCAAAGGCAGCATCAGGAAGATTGGCCCATAGACCTCAGAGGCTATCCTGGTCTACATTATGAGTTCTAGACCAGTGACTGCAACAGGACACCCTGCCTCAAAATAATATTTTTTTTTTACATTTGTGTGTGTGTACCTTTCTGTCTGTCAGTGTCTCCCTGTGTGTCACAAGGTCAGAGGACAGCTTTTGAGTGTCAGCTCTCTCCCCTCACCACTATGTGTGTCCTGGGGAGAGAACTCAGGTCATCAGGCTGGTGGCAATAGTCTCTCTACCCATTGAGCCATGTTGCCAGCCCCAAAATATTGTTTTTATAGCCACAGTAAATGTACAAAGTTGGATGCCTTACTTTATTGTGGTTAAAAACAAGCAAACATTGGGTGGTCCAGCAATGGCTCCCTGGATGAGTGTGCTTACTGCCACACCTGGACCTAAATTCAAACCCTGAGACTAACATGATAGAAGGAGAACACTAACTCCCTAAAGCTGATGTGGCAAACATGCTACCCTACTAAATAAACAGATAATAAAATCATAGAGTGTAAAACTCACTATCTCAGTCATTAATGGGGTACACACATTGTTGTCCAAGAGAACTCTAGAACTTTGTAACACTGATAACCTGAAACTCTAAACTCATCAAACAAACCCTATCCCTGCCCCCAGCCTCCACTAACCAAGTTCCACTTCCAGTTTCTATAAATTTAATCTTGAAAGTGAAATTAGGGAGTGTGGTGGCATACTTGTGCCCGTAATTCCAGTTCTTGGGAGATTGGGACAGGAGGATCAAGAGACCAGGGAAAGTGTAAGGAAAGAAAAAAAGGAGGGGGGGGGAGAAGGGCAACAAAGATAGGAGGGGGAAGGAAGAGGGGAAAGAGAAAGACAAGATTCTGAGGTATAGTATAATGTTGTGCGGAAGACACTTTCCCAGTAGTGGCAAGCATCTTATGTTATGGTGAGGCAGAGGGTACAGAGAGAGCTGGCTTTCCCAGTGTGGTCATGAATCTATGAACGGATTAGACTGTTCTTGCAGGGAGAGCGCTGGGCGCTCCATCAGCCACCAGAGGTCCCTTGGTGGTATCATTCTTGCACAAATAAAGCCTGTCTGGGAAAGTCTGGCAGGGGGTCAGAGAATGGAGTTTGCCACTAGCTAACCACAGAGGTCTGGAGGTCTATACAGACAGACAGGAAGTGATGTAGCTGGGCAGAAACAGGATATAAGCAGGGAGAAATGGGAAATTCTCTCTTCTCTGCTGAAATGCTGAGGAGGTAAAGTGTGCTGTGGCTTGCTCCTTTTCTCTGATCACCAGATAGGCTTTATTTGTGCAAGAAAGGTATCACCACAGGTACGAACTCTCAAACACCGTTTGTACAGGGCTTTTAAAAATGCTTTTGTTTATCTATGTGGTGCTGGAGATTAGACCTAGGGCCTGGTGCTTCCTAGGAGAGTGCTATACTTCTGTCTTAGTCAGGGTTTCTGTGGCTGTGAAGAGACACCATGACCACAGCAACTCTTACTAAAAACCATTAAATTGGGGTGGCTTACAGTTCAGAGGGTTAGTGATTACCATCCTGGCAGAACACGATGACATGTAGGCAGACACAGTGCTGGAAGAGCTGGGAGTTGAGAAGGAGCTATATCTTGATCCCCAGGGCAACAGGAAATGAACTGAGACAATGGGCATGACTTGAGCATATATGAGATCTGAAAACCAGCATCCACAGTGACACACTTCCTCCAAAAAAGCCACACCTTCTAATAGTGCCAATTCCCTATGAGCTTATCCGGGGGCAGTTACATTCAAACCACCACCTTCCACTCCCTGGCCTTCATAAGCTTGTAACAATATCATAATGCAAAAATGCATTTAGTCCACCTTCAAAAGTCCCCAAGTCTATCACAGTTTCAGCAGTGCTTAAAAGTCCAAAGTTCAAAGTCTCTTCTGAAATTCAGGCAATCTCTTAACTATAATCCTCCATACAATGAAAAGTTAAAAAAAAAAACAAAAAACAAAAACAAAACCAGACCACATACTTCTAACATATAATGGCATGGGATATACATTACCCTTCCAAAAGGGAGCATAGTGAGGAAAGACTTGACCAAAATAAGACCAAAAGCCAGCTGGGTAAACTCCAAACTCTGCATCTCCATGCCTAATATCAAAATGATCTTCAGCTCCAACTCCTTTCAGCTTTGTTGACTGCAACACACTTCTTTCTCTTGGGCTGGTTCCTCTCCCTGTTAGCAGCTGTCCTTGGCAAGTATCCCATGACTCTGGCATGTCTAACATCTTGGGGTCCTCAAGGCAATCTGGCTTGTCTGTCACAGCTTTACACAATGGCCTCTCTGAGCCTCCATTCAGGGACACCCCTGACACACGCCTGGTCTCATCAGCTCTCCTCAGTCATGGAGGAATATTCCATAACTCCTTTCTTCTGTCCTTGACTCTAAAGCCTGAACCATGTGGCTGAAGCTACCAAGTTCTGCTGCTTGCTGGGGCTGGAACATGGCCCCCTCATTCAATTACATCTTCACCAACTTTCTATTTTAATGATTTCCTTCACTACCTAAGCTTGGCTGTCCTGGAACTCCATCAGCATATTGGGCTACCTTGAACTCTATCTGTAGATCAGACTGACCTTGAACACAGATCTTTTAATTACATCTTCACCATCTTTCTGTTTTCAGTGGTTTCCTTCACTACCTAAGCTTGGCTGTTTTGGAACTTGCTTTGTATACCAGTGTAACGTTAAATCTTTCCACCAAGCTGCCTGAGCCCTGCAGCCCCCGAGGCTGGTGAGATGGCTCTGTGTGTGAATGCATCTGCAGCCCAGCCTGACAACTTCAGTTCCATCCCTGGGATCCACACAGTGGAAGGAAAGCTAGGTGCTGCAAGTCGTCCTCTGACCTGGTCCATATTCATGCCATGGTGCACACATGCCCAAATACCCACACATGTGTCCAGCTAGAATGTAACAGAATTTTAAAAAGAGAAATAAAATAA